CTGGAAAAGACATGCCTGTGCTGTCCCTGCAGCAAGAGGATAAGAATGTACATTTGACCCGTCTGACCCTCGTCTATTTATATCTGTTTCCTGCTGTTCCTGTATTGTGTCCTTTTGCTGTTAAAAAACCTTAACCTAGAATATAACTTTCTGTGGAATCAGGTGGGTCCTTCTTGTGAATCACCTAACTAGTTGTGGGGGCAACTAAGACAGAAAGCTCATTTTTAAGAAAATAAGAATTTAATTTTTTAAATCATTACTTTTTCCAATTATATATTTCATATTGAGTGAGTTCTGTGGATTTTAAGAAACTGGTTACAGTTCATCCAATTACAGTTCATCCAAGTTTTTGAATTTGGGTAAGATTGTTTTTAATTGTATTCCTCTATTACCCTTTTAAAAGTCTGGAGAGTCTAGTGATAACTAGATGTCATTCTGTGTTTTTTTTTTGTTTTGTTTTGTTTTTAAATTGGCATTGGGGATTGAACCCACGGGCACTTAACCACTAAGCCACATTCTCAGCCCCTTTTTATTTTTTTGTTTTGAGACAGAGTCTTGCTAAGTTGCTTGGGGCCTCGCTAAATTGCTGAGGTTATTTTGAACTTGTGATCCTCTTGCCTTAGTCTTCTGAGTCACTGAGATTAGCAGGTGCACACATGTGCCACCACACCTGGCCCAAGGTTATTCTTTTTAAAAATATATTTTAAATATTTTAGTTGTAGATGGACATAATAACCTCTATTTTTTTTTAAATTTTTATGTGGTGCTGAGGATTGAACCCAGTGTCTCATGCATGCTAGGAAAGTGCTCTACCACTGAGCCAAAACCCAAGCCCTTATTTATTTTTATGTGGTGCTGAGGATGGAACTCAGCACCTCACACCTGCCAGGTGAGCACTCTACTGCTGAGCCACAACTCCAGACCATTCTTTTATCCATCTTGCTAAAGGTTTATTGATATTACTGATCTTTCAATGAGAACCATTTTTTGTTTCATTGACTTTGTTTTTGTTTTTCATTTTATTAATTTTTGTGGTTCTTTTTGTCTCTCTGTTTTAGGTTTACTTTTCAGACCGTTTGGCTGTGATCTATAAATTTTGATATGCTAAATTTTTATTTTTATTTATTAGTCAGTTTAATGTGGTTCTTAAATTTTCCTTGAGACACTGAGAAGGATTTTGCTCAAGGTCCATGTGTTTGGAGATCTTCCTGCTGTTTTCTAGTTTGATTCCTTTATGGCCAGAGATCACTCTTTTCGATTTCAATTCTTTTGAATTTGTTGAGGTTTGTTTTATGACCTAGGATGTGGTGTATCTTGGTGAGTGTCCTATGGGCATTCAGGAAGAATGACTGTTTTGCTGTTGTTGAAAGGCTTGTTCTACGGGTCCTGTTGGTTGGATGTATTCAGTTCTTCTATATCCTTGATGATTTTAGGATTAGTACTTGTTGTTGAGAGAATGATGTTAAAGTCTCTAACTATAATTGTGGACTCCCCTGTATCTCCTGTACTTTGGAGTTCCCTTACCTAGTGCATATACATTTAGGATTGCAATGTCTTTTTTGTGGATTGAATCTTTTTTTGGGGGGGTGGGGGGAGTGGGTAGCAGGGATTGAACTCAGGGCACTTGACCACGAGCCATACTCCCAGCCCCATTTTGTATTTTATTTAGAGACAGGGTCTCATTGAGTTGTTTAGTGCTTCTCTGTTGCTGAGGCTGGCTTTGAACTCGGGATCCTCCTGCCTCAGCTTCCTGGGGTGCTGGGATTACAGGCGTGCGCCACCACACCCAGCAGATTGAACCCTTTATCAGTATATAATGTTCTTCTTTGTCCCTGGAAATTTTCTTTGCTCTGACTTCATCTGCTATTAATGTAGCCACTCCTGCTTTATTTAGATTAACATCTGCATGGTAAATTTTTTTTTTTGCCTCCTTTTACTTTCAGCTTACATAGATCTTTATATTTGAAGTAAGTTTCTTATATAGAGCATAAAGTTGTGTCATGTTTTTAAGGCCACTCTGTCAAAGAAATCTTTGTCTTTTAATTGGTGTATTTATACCAATTATGTTTAATATAATTGTGATATAGTAGCACTTAAGTCTATCATTTAAAAGATGTTTTGTTTAGTCTGTTTTTTTTTCTTTCTATGTTTTCCTGAAAGTTACTTGACTATTTTTTATAACCCCAGTTTGGTTTATTTATACTGTTTTTGAGTGCATTTCTTTGTATAGTTTTTTTCCTCCACAATAGACAACTGACATCATTTTACCATGGTATCTCCATTTAGTTCTCTACTTTCTTTCCCTCCTACTTTAAAATTATATTAAATTTTATTCCTTAAAATTGTATTCCTTTGGGCTGGGGATGTGGCTCAAGTGGTAGCATACTCACCTGGCATGCGTGCGGCCCGGGTTTCCTCAGCACCACATACAAACAAAGATGTTGTGTCTCCTGAAAACTAAAAAATAAATATTAAAAAATTTCTCTCTCTCTCTCTCTCTCTCTCTCTCTTAAAAAAAATTGTATTCCTTTGCATACAATGAGAACCACTCAGACAATGCTACACTTTTTGGTTCAACTGTCAAGCATAACATTTTTAAAACTCAAGAGGATAGTTTTTTACCCATAATTTTTTATAGTTGTTCTTTCTCCATCGTAGTGTTTCAAGTTTCCTCTTTTTATCATTTACTTTCAGTTTGAAGAATTTCCTTTAGTTATCATCTTAGGGGATATCAGCTAGTAACAAATTTTCTTAGTTTTCCTTCATCAAGAATGACTTGATTTTCCTCTTCATTTCTGAAGGATACTTTTGCTGGATATAGAATTCTGGACTAGCAGATTTTTTTCTTTCAGCACCTAACAAATATGGTGTCACTTACCTCTGGCTTCCATGGTTTCTGGTGGGAGATCTGCTGTTATTCACATCGTGTCTAGAGGTGATACATTATTTTAAGAAACATCATAGCTGCTTTCAAGACTTTTTGGCTTTAGTTTTCAGAAATTTGATTATGATATTACTTGATACAGATTCCTTTGCATTTATTGAATCTGTAGGATTTTGGCTTTTCCCAATTTGGAGAAGTTTCAAGTATTACTTCATGGAATATTTTTTCAGCCCTACATTCATTCCTTTTACCCTTCCTCCAATGATATGTCACATTTTTAAAATTTCTTCCACAGGCTCCTGAAGTCCTGTTAATTTTTTTCAATTTTCCTTCTATCGCTTAGTTTGGGTAGTTTTCATCAATTGTTCTTATTGTTGTCATCTCTGTACTGTTAATAATGAGTAAAATTGGTGAGTTTTAAACTTTTATTATTGTATTGTTTTCAGTTGTAAGATTTAAATTTGATTCTTATTTTTTAATATTTATTTTTTTAGTTTTCAGTAGACACAATATCGTTATTTTTATGTGGTGCTGAGGATTGAATCCAGCGCCCCGCCGCGCATGCCAGGCAAGCATCTACCACTTGAGCCACATCCCCAGCCCTGATTCTTCTTTATTCCTTCTACTTCTTTGCTGAGCCTAATTTTTCATTTGTTTCAAGGACATTCATAATTGTACACTGAAGTTTTTTTTTTTTTTTGTGATGGCTGCTTCAGAGTCCTTGTCATATAAACTCAACCTCGTATCATCTCAGGGTTGACATCTTTTCTCATTTTTCTGATTCTCAGTAAGATGAGTTACTTTTCTATTGTAATCTAGACATTTTTAGCTATTATGAGGCTCTGAGTCTTAAACTGAAGTCTATTTTAGCAGACCTCTGCTAACACCACACTGGTAGGTCATGGCACATTCTACCTCATTACCATGGTGAGTCCTGGTTCTTCTCTTCTTGGTGACAGCATGTAAATGGAGAGGAACACCCCATTCCTGCTAGGGAGTCTGGGCTCACACTTGAACTCTGATGATTGTGGGTTAGGTTGGGGCTGGGGTAGAGGTTTTCTTCCGCATGGCATTTGTCCAGAGTAGGGCAGACATTGCCAAAAATATTCCTATCCTGATGGGCTGTGCCCCTTCTCTGGCTCTGGGGCTTTGCTTTTTGGTCTGTATATAGTGGGCTTTCTGGGTTGCATGCTTCTTCCATGCCCATCCAAGGATATAGAGAAAATAACCAGAAAATCCAGGGAACTCAGTGCTGTGCCATCTCTTCAGTCCCAAGGTCCCTGGAGAGTCCCTTCTGTCTTCTAATATTTGTCTTATGACATCCAAGGTTTAAGGTGTACTCAGGGGGAAGAACAGAGAACTCTGCATTTATGTCATCTTGTCTGGAAACAACATCAACCTCTTCTAATAGTTTTGTTTTTAACTTGTTTTTTAAATTGTTTTTGTAGTTGTAGATGGACAGAATGCCTTTTTTTTTTTTATGTGGTGCTAAGGATTGAAGCCAGTGCCTCACACATGCTAGACAAGTGCTCTGCCACTGAGCTGTAGCCCCAGCCCTCTATCTTGTTTTTAATAAAAACTTTAGGATAGTTTTATGTTACAGGAAAGTTCCAAAGATAATACCCCATACCTAGTTTTTTCTATTATTGATCTCTTATGGTTCATCTGCCATAATTGAATAACCACTATTATTAAAGCTCCGGCTTTTAAATTTCCTTAAAAATCTCCCTAATGTCATTTCCTGTTCCATCCAGGACACAAAATGACATTGATCTGTTGTGTCTTCTTGGCTCCTCTTGGCTGAGACCGTTTTCTCAGACTTCCCTCGTTCTTGCTGACCTTGACAGTTTTGACGAGTACTGTTTAGGTGTTTTTTAGAATACCCCTCATTTGGGCTTTATTTCATACTTTTCTCATCAGACTGGAGTTATGGGTTTGGGGGATGATGGCCCTTCTCATCACATCACAGGTGTCCCAATTGCCCCCTTCCCTAATGTCTTCTTTGGAAGGAAGGCATCTGAGCAGCCTATATGCTTGTTTTACACTTACATCAGCTCCTGTTTTTCTCTAGAAAATTCTGACTCATTGGAGAAATTAATTTTTTACTGAGTCCATATTTTTTCAAACATGTCATTTTTATTTTTATTACACAAACATGGAACATTTCTCCAGTAAAGGCACGACACAAGAAACTAGGTCTCTTAATATTTCTTTCATACATATGGTCCCAATGATGCCTTAAATACAACTATAATAGCCATGATCTGGGAAAGCCAAAAATTATATGCAGCAATAAGGTCAATGGAATTATTCTGAATGCATCTGTTTGTTTCAGGGAAATGTATCAGACGAAAGAGAAAGGATCATTTCCGTTTTCTGTGGAAAGCTTATTTTGAAAAGAACCTGCACATCACACATAATTTCCTCATGATCTTCCTGAATTCCAAAAAGGGAAGCACAATTGCTAACATTATGTTTGTTTTTTTTTGTCATAGACTATTTTTAGACTGGATAGAATGGCAGAGTGGTTTTTTGCTTTGTGTAGAATTCACACTTCATTGAGACCTGTATAATCACCAGTGTTGAGTTAATATATCTCTGGGTATCTGTGTGCTTATCTCTCTATATATACCTCAACGTCATAGGACTCGAAGCATATTACGTTTTTGATGTATTTATTAGAGCTGGGATTTCTTTGATGCTGAGTTCTGGATACAAGTAATTATTAAGAGAAAATATGACCTCTTTATATAAGATGGTTCCAGGAAGAACTTGTAGAAAAAACCATGATTACTTAGAAAAAAGATATTGTTAAGATGTTATCTATATTATGGAAGCTTTGTGCAATCTCTGACATCATAAGTGAACCTAATATTTTGTGATTATGTTACATTGTTTTCCTTTCATCATTTTTTATCTAATATCTTGTCCATGTGTTGTCAACTGGCCACATTTAACACTTCTTGAAAGTAGTTTTCAGCCAGGTGGGATGGTGCATGCCTATGATCTCAGGGATGAGGAGGCTGAGGCAGGAGGATGGCAAGTTTGAGGTCAGCCTCAGCAACTTAGCAAGACCTTATCTTAAAATGAAATAAAATGGTCTGGGGATATGGCTCAGTGGTAAAGTGCCTCTGGTCCAATCTCCATTTTTTTTTTTTTCATTTTTCAATCTTGAGTGACTCCAACTTAACTGCCCCCCTTTTTAACATGAGTGTTGTGGAAAAATGGGTAATGAGGAGACTGGCCTTATTAGATGCTAAAACAAATGATAAAGCAAAATAATTAGGTACTAGAGAAGATTCAGACAGATAAATAAAAGTGATTAAAGACAAAGACCCAATTTAAATACAAATTTAACAATAAGTTAGCATTTCAAAATAGTTGGGAAGAGTTATTCACTAGGTATTTTTGGGACAGCTGGTTGATCATGGGTGGGAGGGGAGAACTGGCTCCTATTCCACTTCGATCCAAGACTTGAACATAAAAATGAAGTCATAAAAATACTAGCCAGGTGTAGTGGCACATGCCTGTAATCCCAGTGGCTCTGGAGGTTGAGACAGGAGGATCACAAGGTTCCAGGCCAGCCTTAGCCACTTAGTGAGATTGTTTCAAAATAAAAAATAAAGGCTGGGGATGTAGCTCAGTGGTTAAGCACCTTTGGATTAAATCCCCAGTATCACTTCCCCACCAAAAAATCATAAAAGAACTGTTGAAATCGGTTAATAACCCAGGCATGTGCCATGCACCTGTAGTTCCTGCTACTTGGGAGGCTGCAGCAGGAGGACTGATTGAGTCCATGAGTTCAAGACTGAGCAATATAGTGAGATCCCACACACACACGCACACACACACGCACACTGGGAGGAGGAAGCGCTTAACATCCTAATAATTCTGAACTAGAAAAAGTACAAGCACACAAAACTTAGAAACTATAAAAAATTTCATAACCATAAGAAGGGGCCCCTTCCTATGTTCACGGAGCCACCTTCTGCCCATGGTCTTCTCCACCTGGTCACATCCTGGGAGCAGGCAGGAAGAGGACCAGATAGGGAGAAGCAACAAGAGTCACGGTCCAGAGGCTGCTGCCTTCAATGTATTTTGGAAGCACAAATTCTGCTTGTATCTTATTTGTCATGACTGCCCTGTTGCTGAATGGGGGAAGAGACAGATTTTTATTTTACTTTTCATGTATAAAAAGTGCACAAATTACAAATATAAAACTTGACGGATTTTCCCAAGGTGAGCATGTCCACCTGGTCAGTAATCCAGAACAATGGACAGAGCACTCACAGCCTCCTTGTACCTCCCCACATGCCCCTCCCATGTCACTAGAGAAGGTATTTTTAATAGGCACATTTTCACTGTAACCAAAACTGAGTTCATGAAAGGAATGAGAACTAAATAACCAGCAATCTGAAGAAGCCATCATTTTGTATATTTGCTCAAAGGCAGCCTTTAATTCTTCTTCCAAAATCTTCCACCCTCAGTCCAAGTAATTGTCTTGTCCTTTGAGAGAGAATGGTCCATACTTATATTTTCCACAATTTTATATTGTGAGAAGGGACCAGGAACAACAAGCTGACATCCAAACAGGGTCTTCCACAGCAGAGGGAGCAAAGAGGATGCCCCGAGGGGGTCGCTGACGCTGGCCAGGCCATGAAGACTGACACACCTCAGAGCACTGTCTCAGGGACCCCATCCCTTAAGTGTGGTAAATATGGAAAAATCTGCACTTCAACTCTTTAGAAGTGAGATAAGGTCCAAGTAAGACACGCGTGGCCAAGTCTTGGGTAAGGATTCCGGATTTATTCAGTGTTACAGTTTCATATCGGAGAGAACAGCTTTGACTGTTGTGAATACAGGCAATTTCCTTGGGGCTCCGGTCCTTTTGAAATAACACTCATCTTGTAGAGAGTGGGTGGGGGGAGGCATCTGTCAGCACCCCCCCACAGCACTGGCTACGTCACATGCAACAGAAACTACAGATGCGATAAAATGTGGGAGGGCTTTCAGAAAGCAAAGCTCATTCAACGTCAGAGAATTCACACTGGAGAAAAACCATATGCATGTGATGGATGCAAACGACTGTCTTTAAATAGTGCTTGGCACCAGCCAGACATCTGGGAGTTTGCAGCAGAGAGAGGTCCTGGAAGCATAATGGAGGAAGAAGTGGCTTCATCACAGTCCTGTCCTTGGACAATACCAATGGACTCAAATGGGCCTTAAGCTGGTCAGGTGTGATGAATATGGCAGACCTTCTAGGGGTAGCATGGCTGCGGGGACATTAGGTCACCCTGGAGAGAGGCTAATGGGTAGGATCACATGGGCCTGCTTAGCTCTTTCTCATCATTGGGGGATTCACAGGAGAGACACGTCGTCTTTGAGAGATGAGCGCACTCTAGGTCAGTCATCAGGCTACTTCATGCTGGAGAAAAGTCTTGATGAGCAGCAGTCGGGGGAACAAGTGCCTTTGGTCTCAAGAGTTTCAGAGGCTCTTTGGTGACTCCCAGGGACATGCAGGGCTCACGGAATGCTCTGATGTGTTCATCCTATCACAAGGCAGGGGGTTAAACTTTTTGCTTCATTCACTCCAACCAGGAATTTCACTCCTCTGGTTATAGGATTTTCTTTTTGGGCTGTTCAGCCTGGGGCACAGGCCTGCATGCCTTGTTCAGGAACATAGTACTGCACCGAGAGGGCCGAGGCTCAGTGACAGAAACTGGTGGTCACAACTTCTAAGATTGCAACACATCTGTGGTTGGGCTCCAAAGATCTGAAGAACTTCTATGGGTCACATCTGCACAAGATCATTCAGAGATGGGAAATGGGGCCGGTGGCTTTTCTCAGGGTCTGAATGCAGGGGAACAGTGCACATTGGTAAGACTGATTAAGAAGATGCCAGTCTAATCTTCGTTTTATATTTTTAAAAAGAGTTTCAAAAAAGAAGGGCTAGGGCTCTTGAGTTCAGCTTCCCATTTTTTAAGGGAAGAATGGGTACATTTCTTATGTTAAAAACACACAAAAGAACATGAGAGTTGCACCAGAAGGAAGCTTTCTCCAGTCCTCATTTAGCAATTGCTTCCCCTCTCGCCAGTCTAACTCCTCTTCCCAGATGAGCATTCTAGACGAGCAAAATACCCTGGCCTCCATTTTAATCCCCCAATTGCGTTAGAATGACTCAGGTCTTGTGCATTTCTGAGGCCTGACTTTGCACAGAGAGGACAAAAGTGGAGGAAAAAAAGGGGAAGATGGAGGGAGAAGAGATGAGGAATAAGGAAACGGGGCTTGCCAGGGTGGCAACCCAGGGCTGCGGGGGATATCTTACTTTTTGAGAACCTAAAGCATCAGGAAGGTCGGCAGGTGGGCGGGTCGGGGTCACGGTTAGTTCCAGGTGCTTAGGCTTCTTTCTGGCTGGTCCCCCGAGCTCCTACCATCCACCTGGAGTCCTGGGCATCCTTCCCAGAATTTGTCCAACCTACCTACCATTTGTTCAGCTCAACTTCCTGCTCCTCCCATGGCTTCCTGAACCTTGCTTGGGCTTTGGATCTTAGGCATTAACCCCCCACTGAACTTGATCTTCCTCAAATTCGTTATTGAGCCCCAGTTTAGAAGACTCATGCCCATACTTGTGGAAATGTCCTGAATATTTTTCTTTCCTTGTCTGTATCCTATAGGCCGTGGCAGTTGGGACTAACAGCTGTGTGAGCTGTGACAAATCCTGACTTTTATTTCTTGTTGTATGAACAGGACTTCTCATGTTAACACTCAGGGCGAGTCTCCACTTGGAGCTCCAGAAAGAGCCATGTGCTCTAAGGGGCAGCTATGGGGATAGGAATGCTTCAGGCTGCAAGTAGCAGAAATCTGCTTAGAAAATAAGACTTTTAACTTACACAGCAACAATACTGGAAGTAGGTAGTTCCAGGATAGGTATAGTGGCTCAACCATGTCATCAAGGACCCAGGCTCCTTTTGCCTGTCTGCTGTCACCTCTGCATTCTGGCCTCCCCCTTGTGCTTGCTGCCTCAGGGGCTTGGGCAGTCCCTGTCACTTCCCCTAAGTTATTAGCAGAATGAAGTAGCAGGCCCACTTCTAAGCCAACTGCAAGCAAAGGTAACAGCCAGTGTGGCTGCTGTGGTATCACCTGGGCGAGGCTGGGCCCAGGGAGCCACAACAACAGGGCAGTTCCGGGGCTGGCGGCTCTGCCTCGGCCTTCTGTCCTGTATGCGCTTGCTCCAAACAAGGCTTGCTTTCCCTCCATGACCTTCTCCACGTCACGGCTTGCTTTGTTTCCTTTACTCTTTCTCCTCCAGTGTCACTGTGACTAACACTGGTCCATCCAGGCCCTGCTCGCCCTCATGACACCTGGTCACACACTACCTTTTTTGATTTCTGGCTCAAATTTACAAAAGGAGGAGCCTGACTAGTCTGGCTGCTTCACTTCTATTGTGGGGTCAGATGACTTCAAAAGTCATTGGCCAGCTCCTGTTGGATCCTGGCCCAGTGAATTGTACGTACACACCGAGGCAGGGTCTCATGATGTGACAGTCACCTGGACAACAGGGGAGGGGGTGGAGGAGGACAGGTGGGGCCTGCAGTGGACAGGAGCAGAGGCCATGGTTCTGAGAGCCTGGACAACAGCACAAGATCAGGCCACTCTCCTGGAGAAAGGCCACATGGAAGATGGGGGAGGTTCCAGGAATGTGAGTGAAAAGCCACTTTGGATGTTTTGGCCCCGTAGATGCTACCAGAGGAGGGATGGAGGAATCCACCTGGCAGACAGAAGCCGGGCCCCAGGCAGAGCCCCAGCTGGACCATCCCAGCTATCTCCAGAGTGGTCACTCCAGTGGAGGCCCAGACATAGCTAAGCACAAATAAACTGTACTGCCTGACCCCAGCACAAGCACATAACCACAGAGTTTAGTCTGCCGTGACCTGAGACTCCCCCTCTACCGGCACCCTCGGCAGAGGTCCTGTGGCTGCCGGGGGGCGCGTGCGGTCTCCCATGAACACAGCTTTCATAGGGACTGAAGCGCTTACCACCTCCTGGGACTGGTCTCCTGAAGACCTTTCTGTGGCTTTGACAGGCTGAAGAAGAGATTGTGGAAACAAGACTATTCCAAGATGGCCAAGGACCGAAAATGGGCTGGCATTCCAGCAAACGGAATTAAAAATCCTACAATGGGGAAACCCCAACTTTTAACAGCACGGGAAGGAATTGGGCTCTAGCTCTAGTTAGTAGTTGCATGACCTTGAGCAAGTGATTCAACCTCTCCACATCTTATTTCCTTCATTTGTAGCATAAAATTAGAAATAAAAATACCTACTACAAAGGGTTGTTGAGAAGATAAAACGGGATTCTGCTCACGGCTTTCTCAGCAGAGCAGGCCTGCGAGGAGACATCACTAGGCTGGCTTGGCAGTTACGGTCCTTGCCATGGGGATGGGTGGGGCCGCTTCACTGCTCTCCATCTAGACTCAACTTCTCGAGCAACTTCCCAGAAGCCTTGTGCCCTCTGTGAGTGGCCTTTGCCTCCTTCAGGGGGCCCTGGTTTAGGATCCCGCCCCCCCCCCCAGCCTTTGCTCCTCTGATTATCCACTTCAATCTCTTGTCTTCATAATTTCATAAACTGCCTGGAACAGTTATTACAAGAGAAATTTGAGAGAATATTCTGGAGACTCACTATAAATGACACACTATCTATAAACTTTCAGGTTGAGAGAATATTCTGGAGACTCACTATAAATGACACCATCTATAAACTTTCAGGTTAGAGAACGTAGAGCTGGTGCCTGGCTATCCCCTCTGGCCCAGAGGCCAGTGGGTGAGCAGGTGGCCCCTGGTGGGCCCAGGAGGGGCAGCTAGCTAGGCATGCTCTCCTCTTCTCCTTAAAGCTCCACGGCCCAGGATAGGCTCACCAAGCCAAAGGTCACCGGGGTAGAAAATGTGTTTCTAGAAAATGCAGTTGCCACCACTAAGGATGATTTTTTACTGTCCCTACAGTTTTAACTTGCTTTAAAGAAAGTGAATGGAGAACTCCTAGGCTACACAAAAACACAGACTTAAGCAGTTTGTCCCATTTTTCAAGGGGGAGAGAAAATTTGCAATTAATAAAAGATAAAGGGACTTTCCTGTACTTTGTGCATGGGACCTAGAATTTAGCCACATACCAACGGGATGATGTACTCACAGGAGGTGGAGAGAACCTAGGTGGGATGAGAGCACAGTCATCCTACCTCTGCTCTCCTTGTTACTCCATGAGCCCTGGCTGTCAGTTGTCAGGAGCTAAAGAGTGATTACTCCAAGGCAGACACTCTGCAAACAGATACCTATTTGCTGAACCAGGCACCGTGAAGCAGGGACAGGCCCAAGACACAGCTCTGCCCACAAGGAGCTCCAAGTTCACGTGGAGGAAGGTCCTGAGCCAGTCATACTTAACCAGGGCGCTGGGATGGGTGGCTTTCCCACCGAATGAATTCTGGCTGTTCCCTGCCTGTCCTTTCCCAGGTCCCTCCCAGGCCCAGCACAACATATGGCAAATAGTTACATCTCTCGGGCACAGCTGAGACAATGGAGACAGATGGCCAGCCACCTGATGGTCTCTGGGGCTACCTTGGCTAGCCTGCCTTGTGGTGTGGGCTAGAAAGGACGGCAGTAAATACAAAGTCACCTTTTGCCCCGTGTGACCAGAAGAGAATTTCAGCCATCCCTAAGGAGGAAGCCGCGTCTTCAGCCAAAGGCATGTCCTGGACCCTCTGCTCAGAGGGTGGCACCATAGCCCCATGCAGCTTCCAAGCCCCGCCACGATTCTGAGGTGTCAATGCTTGAAGGTGCTGGGGAGGATCCAAGGGACACAATGTGGCTCTTCTTCAAAGAGTTTTAAGTCTGTTTAAGGAAAAAAAAAAAAGGCATAAATAGACCACGGAGGGCGAGCCCGGCCTGAGTGCTATCCAGCCTTTATGGGCAGTGACTCCACAGGAAGGTGGGGAAGTGGAACTCCAGGTTCCAGCATTCCAGGGAGGCTCCAGGGGAGCTGTGCCATTTGGGGAGGGCAGAGAAAGGGAGTGGGGGGGGCAGCATTCCAGGGGCACTGCTGTTCCTGCCAGGCTGCTCCCCTGCCCTCTCCCCTCTGGCTACTGCAGTCAGAGGCTTGAGGGTCCATGCACACTGGTGGAGATCTGTCTCAGAAGCCAGGGCTTGGGACCCTCGCTTCCCAGGGTGCCATCATGGCAGGAGGCTCAGGCTGGGCACACACTGTCAACACACTGTCTCCTGCCAAAGAGAATCCTGGGGCCATGTGAGAGGACAGGGGCTGGGATTTGGAGGAACTTTACGATAGGGAAGACACAGTTCCAGGAACTGCAGATGCTGAGCCCAACCCTGATCTGCTGGCAAGCACGTGGCCCAGCATATGGCCAGCACTGGCAGGAAAGCAAAGAATCCACAGAGCGAGGAGATCTTTGAATATTATGAATAAGAGAAAATTTCCATTCATCCCCAATTCAGACGAGAGGCTCCCTATGAATAGCACCAACGGGGAAGCTCCGAGGCCAGCACGGGCACATCCGGCACAGAATAAGCGGGAACCTACGTCAGAGCTCCGCTCCGGGGAGTCACACGGGATAACACGCACGTCCCGATGAAGGGCTCGATGCTCCCAGAGCGCCCAGGCGCGGACCAACACTGGAAGCCGGAGCTTCTGAATGAATGAATCGGGTGGGGACTGCGAGGGAAATCAGCTCTTATTCATCTGTGGAAGATTCCACAGGAGAGAGGGCGGATACTCGTCACGGATGACGAAGCTCCCACCTCCAGACAGGGAGGCCAAGGAGGGGCCTGAGGACGACAGCGAGGGGGCCTCAGAGCACCTGTGACCTCAAGTGTCCACACAAGAGGGCACCGAGGGAGGGGCGGGGTTGGAGCATGGTCCAGTTGGCACCTGGGTTTCTAGCAGCAAATGGACTTTGGCTGTAAGGACGGCAGACACCTCTGACAGCCCAGCGGATGGCGTGGTCTACACGCAGGCTCCTCAGGGGCCACTCGCAGAGGAGCCCAGGCTGCACTGGGCAGAGACAGAGCTGGGCGCCGCCCGCCATCTCCCTCCTCCCTTGCTTCTCAGCAAAGCCCAGGCTGTGTCAGTCTCAGCCTTAGGAGAGGTCCTGGTGCCTGCACAGTATGCTCTGCTTGGCTTGTAACAGGAGAGGCCACCTCTCATCCCCGGGTGGTGACTGCTGGCCCGCTCCCCCGGCTGCTGCTCTCGCTGGCCCACTCATCACCAGACAGCCACCTTTAGAGAATTTGCTCTTCCGAAGGCCTGGTCCCATTACTTGTCTGAGATCCAAGACAGGGAAGAAGGAGGCATGAGTGGCAGGTGACCTGGGCCACCTAGGGGAAAAAGAGGGAGGTCGGGAAACAAAGAGCAGCGCTGAGATGACAGGGGTGTCTGTGTTACAAGGATCCAGAAGGGGGCTTAGGCAGGGGCAGCGCTGGGAGGGAGGGACAACTGTGACTCCACGGCTGTCTCCTGTGTCAGGCTGCATGTGATTTGTCACTGGACCCTGCAGAATGAGTGCCACTGTCTCGTTACTTTGCAAATATAAGAAATAAGATAGGCCCAGCTAGTAAGTGGCAGTTAGATCTGTCCTAGGCCAAATCCCTCTGTGTCTTTTCATCACTGTAAGAGAGAGACGGGTCCTTCTGCAACACTGTCCCTGGGGATCTATTTCTCATATCTTAGGGGACAGTGAGGGCACTGGTGGGCCTCGAGGACAGGGGGAGGAAGGAGAGAAACGGGCTAGCTTTTGCAGACTCTGCCTCGGGAACACAAAGGCTCTCCCAGCCATTCCCCAGTCCCTGGAGCACCAGGCGCTGTGCTGAGGAGACAGATACGGGAGGGAAACCAGACCATCAGGGTCTCTACCCTCACGGAACTTCCCCTCCAGAAGGAGGCAGACAGTGAAGTATGTCCTGCATTTTGAAAGAGGAAGCCTGGGCCGCGGCGGAAACACGGAAGAGAACTCTGTGACTTGCGGGGCTGAGAAAGACTTCTGGTGAAGTGCTGGTGAAAGCCTGCCAGGGAGAAGCCTGTGGGAGGGTCTGCTGCTGACAGGGCAGAGTGACAGCAGCCGGAAGAAGGCCAAGGTGGGAGGGGAAGGAGAGAGCGGGGAGCCCAGACTGGTCCTGGGAAGCCAGGGCAAGATGGTGGGGGTGCTGAGGTACATGGCATGGCCTGAGCAGCTTCGTCATTTCTCTTCCTTGAAGCCCAAGGCTGTAAGATGAGGGGAGACCTGTATGGTGTCAAGTTCTAAGAGTGAGCCTATGAATTCTTTTCCTCATGAAGCAAGATTTCCAACAGGTGCAGTGAGCAGAATAAAGTCAGGAGTGACTGGGTGACCCTGATACTGCGTTGCTAGATCCTGTAACCAGCCGAGACCCATCTGGGGAGGAAGGGTTGGTGTCAGGGTCTCTGGTCCACGGTCTCACGGACAAACATCTCCCCCTTGTGGCCAGGAGTAGCATTGCCCTCAAGAGCCGGAGGGTGGTGGAGGCTCCCTGGCAGAGAAAGGGACCTCCTCTAGCTCACAGGCTGCAAGCCCAGTGAGGTCCTGCCAGGCTGCAGGGCCTTGTGGACCTAGAACATTCCCTACCTTCCTCTTTTAGAGAAATATAACTAATGGGCAAAATAGATGCATACATGCGTGCGCGCGCGCGCACACACACACACACACACACACTTACATAGGTATAAATACTCAGAAAAAGTGTTTGAAAGATACTTAAAGTGTTAGCAGTGATTCTTTTCCAAAATGGAACTAAATCTTCACTTACCTATGCATTTTAAAATCACGCTGTTTTGAGCATGATTTTGTTGACAGTAGGAAAAATGAAGAGCAGAAGTGAGAGAAAAGCAGCTCAAGACGGAGCGAAGGAGCCCGGGAAGCACCCAGCTCCTTGCCAAACCTGCTCATCACAGAATGCACATTCAGGGCCTGGGGTTGGGGACTGGGTTTCCAGAGGAACACTGCCCACTGTGCCTCGCTGTCATGTCCCTTGTGCCCCTCCAGCTCACACACACCCGACCTGTCCTGCTGAGTGAGGGAAGGGGACGACCTCTGACGTGCAGTCCTGGAAATGTTTCTGAACCTCTCTGAGGTTCCAGGATGTCCTTTCCTGAGTTTCCAGGGAGAACAAATAAGCTATAAAATGTGCTGTGAAGATGCCGCACAGGCACAGATTGAGCTCCACCTAAGAACTGGGCGGAGGGAAGCATACCTGCCAACTTCACCTGCAAGCTGGGATCAAGTGGAGATCACATGGGTGACCTATTACACCTGATGCCCCTTGAAACTGGGGCTGGACTTCTCTAACCCACATCAGTCCCTTCAGTAACTCACTAGGTGACACTCTCAGCTCAGCCATTAAGAGGGTGTCCTGGTTGTGACTCCCCTGCTAGGGAAGCGCAGGCTGGCTGGGGTCAACCTCTTCCCTCAGGGTGGGCCTGCTGTGGCGCTGGGCCAGTGCAGTCCAAGGTGCGGAAGCGATACCAGGGCATGGACTGCACATGCTCACTGCACCTGGGACACAGCTGGGCAGGTGGAGGGGGACAGTTTTTTGAAGCTACCTCAGCAGCCCAGCCCCAGGGAAGAGGCTTGAGGTTCACACTGTGCTTCTGCACCACTGAGCCTGGGGGGCAAGGCTCACAGCCTTCTTGCCAAAGCACTGGCTTATGGTGTCTCTTTACCATGTCTCCCATGTCTCTGGACTTTTTTTTTTTTTTGGTACTGGAGATTGATCTCAGGGGCACTTGACCACTGAGCCACATCCCCAGCCCTATTTTGTATTTTATTTAGAGACAGGGGGTCACTGAGTTGCTTAGTACCTCACTGTTGCTGAGGCTGGCTTTGAACTCAGGATCCTCCTGCCTCAGCCTTCCGAGCTGCAGGGATTCCTGACGTGCACCACTGTGCCTGGCATGTCTCTGGACATCTAAAATGCTTGCCTAAATGGCTACAGCTGAGAGTTGAGACTATGGTGAGCTTGGAATTTCCCTACAGTTCCAAATGGGGTGTTTTGGGGGCTTATATGAAACTTTTGCATGTTTCCCACCCTCCAGGTAACTGCTGGGGGTGTCACATATGGGCCTAGTGAAGGCCTTTCCCCCACCACAGGCTTGCTGGCTTCTCTCCCTGGGCAAGGGGGATGCCCCTGGGAGGTGCTGCATCTCCCCTGTCCGGTGACAGCCAGCTACCTGTCAGGGCCACAAGCTTACACCTGAGGGGCTTCTCTCCCCTGCAGCACTCTGATAACGGCAGTCTGCTCAGACCCTGGCTCCTTGTGTGAAAGCAACGCTCTCTGCCCGTGCCACGCTCCTGACCTGGAATGAGGATGCTCACCTGGCTGCAGGCTACCTCTTGTCCCTGTCACAGCATCTGCCTTCTCTCTTCTGCTGGAAGGTCTTGTCTTGGGGAGGAGAACTGCTTGGCTTCACCTCTGGGAGAGTCCCCAATGCCAGCTGAAGGTTCTGGAACATTCTGAGGCATTTCCTAGTGCCCACAGGGTCTGCGTGAGGTCCCTCATGGGGATCATCTTTCAGAAAGTCCCTGATGGGAGGGGAACTCCTTGTTCTCAGTCCTGAAAACAGAAAATTCAGTCGAACTTAATATTTTTTTGAGACGGGATCTTGCTACATTGCCCAGGCAGGTCTTGAACTCGATCTCAAGTGATCCTCCCACCTTAGTGTCCTGAGTATCTGGAATACAGGTGTGAGCCACCTTACCCCAAAGGAAATTCAAATACACTTGTTTCATGTGCAATAAAAAACCATAAAAGCCACGTGTACTATAGATGGATTAAACTCATTATAGCCTAGAGTACAATGAGAGCTAAGAATATCCCCAAGTGCAGGGGCACAGGTGTGTAATCCCAGCCTACTCAGAAGGCTGAGGCAGGAGGATCCAAGTTGGCAAGATCCTGCCAGTAATAAAAATGAAAAGGGCTGGGGTACTTGTAGCTCAGTGCCCTGGTTCAATTCCTAGTACTGGGGTATGCTTGGAGGCTGCAGTCAAGACCTTAGTGACCACATTCAGCAGGCTGTAAATGTCACATGTGAGATTAGGAGTCACTTTCATTTTCTTTATGAGTCACATTTTCATTTTCTTATCTGTATCTTCTATATACAAGGAAAAAACACAAATCTCATTTTTTTGTTTCGCAAGTCTGGGGAGAGGATGAGGAAGAAGCAGGGGACGGAGTGGGGGCAGGCAGGGAGGCGCAAGGTCCGGGAGGAGTAACTGGGCTCTGTGGCCACAGGAGCAGGCAGAGGGTGTGGCTGGCAGGTCTGAGGAGGCTGCAAAGGGGGGCTGGTTGAGACCTCCAAGAGTCCTGGGCACCTCCAGAGCAGTAGGAAGGCAGGAGCTGTAGCCCAGGGCGGGCTGGGGAACTGGAGGTCACAGAAGGAGCAAGGCAGGGACGGGGAGACAGCTGGGCTCAAGGCCAGGTCCTGCGATGCACAAGGAACTCAGGACGAGACCGAGTGATGGAAGCTGCCTTTCCTGTGTGTGCCCTGCAGTTTGCAGAGTGCATCCTCACACAGAAACTGAGGCTCAGAGAAGTGCAAGAAGTTGCCAGACTGCCCAGCTAGTACCCATGGGGCCAGGGCCTGTTGCCAGCCGGTGCCAGTGCCCATGTGGCTATACTTTGCTGGGTGGTAAAGGTCAGCAGGGCCGGAGCCAAGGGGGCCAAAGTCCCTTGACAACCAGAAAAGCCCAGACATCACTGATGACAACCAGGAGGGCCCGGACATCACCAATGACAACAGATGCTGGTCCCAGCACTGGAGCAGAGGGATCAGGTGATCACCATCAGATCTGTCCTGAGGGTGAGGCAGGTTAGCCAGGGTGGCTGCAGGGCGCACACTAGGGCGAGCCGGCCCAGAGGTGTCCCAACAGCTTATCAACCCACTCGTGCACTCTGTTCCCCTACCTCTGTGTCACATGGGCCCTAATAATGACAGAAGACTAGAACTTGTACAATGTGTCAATTATCTCTATGGTCAAACCACACCCCAAAGCGAAAGAACTTCAAGCCCCCTGGTGTAGGCTCCATGGACATGTCCAAATCTGGCTCATGTTGACTCGTGGTTCCTGATGCTCAGGCTGAGACCAGTGGGGGCTGATGACCCGGAACGGGAAGCCCAGGGTTTTCACCAGTCTTTGCCCTGAGTGTTCAGAGTCTGCTCAGGAAGGGAGCACCAAGTGCTGAGCACTGGCAGCAGCAGAGACCAGCTGTCGGGCAACCTCCATGGACGAGGAGACAGAGCTCGCCCTGCCTCTCCCTGTTCAGGTCTCTTCTCTTCATTCTCAACCCCTCCCTCTCCCTGCAGCAGGACCCCCTCCATATTCCTCCAAAAGAGGTGAGATATTCCCCAGGGTTCCCTTCAAGCCTTGAGTACAGATTTTGTGGAGGCGAGAAGGGGAGACGGTATTATCAGCGGAAGTCCTGATAGTCCCCACCACGAAGTGTGGCTTGACTAAGAAGCTACCAGAAGACAATTCAGAGGAGCTCAATGTTGTCCTCACTGTAACCTTTCAGGGAACAGAGGACACCGGTGCTTGTGGGTAACTGAGGAGAGGGCTGGCAGTCTCCCAAAGACCTCAGCGCCTCTCTGGTTCTGGACCTAAGGTCTGGTGCTAGTTGATGACCACGCTCAGCTCCAGCACAGGTCTGCAAACTGGGATGTTCTGGCCTGCTTTTCTACACAGGAGGTCCCAGAAAAGGGACAAAGACCCCTGGAGGATTTTGTCCCTTACCGTGAGCTCCAAGGGGGTGAGGCTCCCAAGATCCACATCCGAACAATGTCTGCCCTGGTGGAGGATTCTGGTGCTCTTGTGCCATCTGTCCCAGAAAAACTCCTGTTCTGGAGACAGTGAAGAAAACTGGAGAGCTGAAGGAAAGAAAAGTGAGTTGTTTTTTGTTTTTCTTTTAAGAAAATTTCTATTTAGATCCCTCTCCCCCAGTGTGTTTCTTTAAAAACTACTATCTGGTTTGAAAGCAATATCTATTCATTGCAAAAAATAATTAATGTTACTTCCCTATAAAAACACACAAAGAATGGACTGGGAGCGACACTCAAGTGTAGAGCAGGTGCTTAATAGTATGAGGCCCTGGGTTGACCCCAGCATTCCTCCAAGAGTACAAAAGGACTGTCCTTCATGATCCTATTTTGTATTTAAATTAAATTTGATTAAACTTTTATCTGATAAAAGTCATAGTTGTATAAACAAAGTAGCTTTATTTTAAAGAAAATTGAATTTGGCTATACTGATACGATGACTATATTTCCTGGATTTTCCCATAAATGCTCTAATATCAAATATTCTATCTAGTTGTTCCCAAAAGATATCAAAACAGTACAGAAACTGAATGCAAATGACCTTCCCAAGAGGGCTTCTAAGGCTGGAAACAAGCATCCAAATTCTGTTAGACCACTCATATTGAGTTTTCTATTGTGTAACTGACTGTCCTAGACATAGCAGCTTAGAGCAACCAACACTTATTATCACACACAGTTTCTGAGCATTGGGAACCTGGGAGTGGCGGAACTGGGTGGTTCTAGCTCAGGATTCCTTAGGAGATTAAGGCTAAGATGTCTGCTGAAGCTGAGAATTTTTGTAAACTTTAAATCTGTGTCCCCGTGGATAACAAGTTTGGTAAGAACACAGTGGAAGTGGAAGGATAACAGACCTCAGGGCCTTAGGGCTAGTCTCAAGGAATACAGAGGGTGTACTGAAGCCCTCATAGATGAGGAGCTGTGGCGAGAGCCTGTCAAGAAACAGAAAACCTGAACTTGATTCTGTATTGGGAAAGGAGAATATGTATTTTTGTTTCTGTAGAGAATTTAAAAAATTGAATGGTTTAAATAATGTAAAAGAAGCATAGCCAGGGGCTGGAGCTGGAGCTCAGTGGTAGTGCTTGCCTCACATGCATGAGACCCTGGGTTCGATCCCCAGCATCATATAAAAAATGCACAAGTAAAAATAAAGATATTGTTGTGTCCATCTACAACTAGAAAAATTATTTTTAAAAAAGAAGCATACCCAGATAAAAATGACATGGGGTGGAGGTGGCGCTGGGAAATTACCAAAGTCAAATTTATGCCCCCAAAGTAAAACAGAAGAGCTAAGAACAGAGAAAAGGTGTTGGATCAAAACAGATTTGGGGCAATATGTGGTGGCACACTCCTGTTATCCCAGAGAACTTGGGAGGCTGAGGTAGGATCATGAGTTCAAAACCAGCCTCAGCAGCTTAGAGAGGCCCCAAGCAACTCAATGAGACCCTGCCTCTAAATAAAATATTAAAAAGGGCTGGGGGTGTGCTCAGTGGTTAAGTGCCCCTGGGTTCAATCCCTAGTACCAAAAACAAAAACAAAAACAAAAACAAAAACAAAAACAACCAAACATAGATTTGGTGTTAGTTTTCTTTAGAGGCCTAACCCTCTTTTCACAAATTATTTTGCTCTTCTCCTGCTTGTCCTGCTCACTATGCTCTGTATCTCCTTCCAGCATGAGTCCACCTTTCATTGCCCAGGTTTGCTCCTTGCCCTGAGCCTGGGGCTCCTGGGGCCAGATGGGCCACAGCTCCATGATAGGCTCCTTTTATGCCCTCCTACCTCAGCCATTCGGGCAGAGCACACCTTCTTAGGCCATTACAAACCGTCTACAGCTGTTGGTGCCAGCTCTCCTCTGCAAGAATTATTCTGTGGCTGCCTGCCCCTCACCCTGACTCCAGTCCCATGGTATTTTTTCCTCCACCATCAAAACTCTATCCTACTTTTGAGGAACCTGAGAGACCAAGGACACTGTGCAGTACTCCCATTGCTGTGACCACTTTTGAAAGAAAAGTCCCCAAGGAGGCTCACTTGTGCCATGGCAGGGTCAAGTTTCAGAGAAGCTCCTCTTGAATTCCTTTGTTTTCCAGAGACTTCCTGAAACACATAGAATCCGTTGGTTATGGAAATTCTTCCATCTCACCAAAGCTGGGAACTCTCACTTGCCTGCCACCTGGTTTCAACAGCAATTCATTTTCTGCCATCCTTATTTCCTCCATGACAGACACTCCTGTGTGCCTGTGTTTTAAAGGAAATTCCAGACATCAGACCTTATTCTTCCCAATGAATAACTCATATGGAGCACTGGCAGATAAGGATTAAAATGATACTTTATATTAAAAAGCATTTGGATGTAATGAGAGAAGAGAGAATAATTTTATTTTTTGTGATACTGAACCCAGGGTGCTCTACCACATAGTTGCATCCCCCAGACTTTTTTATTTCTTATTTTGAGACAGGTCTCACTAAGTTGCTGAGGCTGGCCTCAAACTTAGGATCCTCCTGCCTCAGCCTCCTGAGTAGCTGGGGTTACAGGCATGCATCGCCAGCCCAGAGAGAGAAAGTTTAGTGATCTTGGTGTATCATGGTTAGCTCCAACAATGACCAACACCTAGACAAGTCTCTTTCCTTTATTCTCTCCCCTTCCCCCATTTTTGAAGCATTTTGGAAGCCAATATGACATCATTTCATTCATAAGATCTGCAAATATGTGCCTCTCAGGCATTTTCTTTTATTTTTAAAGCATAACTCCTAAAGTATTACGACTAAACAACTGAAGAAATAATTCCTTAATATCATCAACAATGTGCACGTCCCTGATTTAAAACAATCTTGGCGGTTAGAATCGCGATCCTAATAAAGTCCACATGTTGCATGTGGCTGAAAAGCCTCTCTCTCTCTCTTTTTAAATTTTGTATTTATTTGTTGAAATACTTCAGTTGCGTGTCCTTAGAATGGAGTGACACTCAACAAAAGTTTGAGCGCCTGTTCTGCGCCACGTGTTGCGCTCAGGCTGCAGCCAAAGGTGCGAGCGCACAGCCGTGGCCTGGTCTCCGGCTGGGGCAGATCCCTGGCTCTCTCAGACCTCCCCTTCCGTAATGACGGGCACGGGGTGAGGGTACGTGGAGGCGCCACTCACCGCCTCGGGGGAGCCCCTCGGGTGACCAGGAGCCCCACTGGGGGCTTCTCAGCTGGGGAGCCTGGGCGGGCCGGGGCTGAGCGATGCCGACTCCTGCCCTTCCCTAGCGGCCTCCGCCCCTGACCCGGCCTCCCGCTCAACCATTCCGGGTTACAGGCCGAGGCACCGCAGGAGGCCAGAAGGGCCTCACCGTCCGAGGGCTGGCCGCCAGCGCGCAATGGCCAGTGGCGAACGCTAACGGCAGCCGCTCGTCCTCCGGGCGCGCGCCCGGCCCCCGCGCAACTACAACTCCCAGAGTCCCCGGCGGCGAGCCGGTTACCACGGAGACGGGCGGGGCTCGTCGGCTCTGTGGTCGTTGGTGGCCTGCTGGTCGCCGGGCACAGACCCTTCCTCAACCCCGGGGTTTCAAAACGGGCTGTCCCCGCCCCTCGCCAAGCGGCCGTTCTGCTGCCCGAGGAGACTGGGCTCGTGCGGTGGCCGAACTACATCTCCCAGAATGCTCCAGGCGCACGCCACTCCGGTCGCGTGTGGTTGCCACGGAAACCAGCGCCGGGTCTTTGGAGCCCCTGAAGCCCCCGGAAGAGACGAGCAGGAGCCCGAGAAGCAGGCTAGAGAATGGAATAGGACGTCTGGCAGCGCCCCCTACCGTTCGCGTTTTGCTTCCGCAGACGCTCGGGGGAGGGATGCGCACAGACTTAGTTGGAAGGTCAAGCGACCCTGTCCCAACAACTATGGGAGGTGTAGTCATGGATTATGGGCCACCACCTGCGACAAGCCAGAAACGCCTAGGATAGGGGATGCAACCCGCCACCAGCCCTCTTAATCACTCACTCTCGAGTATATTTGACCTGACTTCCTGCCTCCCTCTGACCCCCTTATGCAGGAGTATTCCGATGGCCCTACATCTCATTTACTACTGATAGCTTAAAGTCATTGCCATTGTTTTTTTTTTTTTCAACAGCTGCACCTAAAAGAGTGATAAATTCCAAATGCAGTTGGATTTGCAAGTTATAATCTTGAGAAGCACTTGAAATAGGTTTGTATGTGTAGAAACCAAGTTCCTAATTTTCTATGATAAAATTAGCATGATTAACATTTAATTCCTCTGAACAGAAAACATCATAACATGATATAGGTGTCTCCTGGGCTTTTGAAGTCACACAGAAGAAAAAGGGTTGTTCTTTATGAATAAAATACTTATCACAAAACTGCAGTGAGACTATACTTGTTACTTTTAATTCACACAACACCTTCAATGATCTACAATTAGGTCTGAGCCAAAGAGTAAATCTGCATTGAGGATTTAGAGACCAGAGGCATATTCTTATAGCTTATCTAATGAACAAGTAGAGGGCAGAAAGATAAATGAGGTGCTGCTTGCTTCAAAGCATCCAGGACTTTCCTTTTGAAGTAGGACAGTTGGCAGACATGACATTCCCACTGGCTTAAAACTTTGGTAGGAAGAACAGCCCATATCATAAGTGTAGAGAATTATTTAACTGATAACATTTAGAAGTCATGTCAAAGCTATGTAATTTATTCCTAACATTCAAAACAGAGTTTCCTCCCTCCTCCTTAATCATATTTTTAAAGCATGGAATCATTCATTTCTTGCCTAAGGAAAGAGCACATCTCATGATAAAGCACCAACCAAGGCCAGGATATTCATGTAATTCTCAACAATTAGGTGTGGAAGGCCAAAGTCAAGACCTACAACCATATTCCAGAGTAATTTTCTCAAATGGCACAGTACCCAGTTACCTTTTTAATCAGGAGTACTGATGTTTAAATTAACTCCTAGCCTCAGTTAGCAGCAAAACTATTCTTAAGGCAATTTAGTGTACCTTGCAGATATCAGAGTCTCCCAGTGTCCCACACAGAGTTTAATGATCTCCAAGGACTTTGCTTGAACAACTTTATGATGTGGATATTCGGGTTACAATGTAAGCATAATCTTTACAATGGCTAAAGCTTCAGAACACAAACTGGTCATTGGATTGGTCGGAGGACATGTACTAGTTCTACCTGCAAGATACTTGCAAACCACCATCAGGCTGGGCTCCACTTCAAATATGGTTATTATCTCCCGTAACCATCCTTCTGTTATTGCAGTATGTGTTAATCAGCTGCTCATTGCTGTAACAAAATACCTGAGATCATCAATTCATGGTGTTAGATCATCAAGCCTATGGTCAGTTGGCCACATTGCTTTTGGGCCTGTGGCCAGGTAAGATATCATGGAAGGAGTGGGAGGAAAAGAGCAAATCTTTTCACCTCTCGGAGGCAGAGAAGTGAAAAAGAGAAAGAGACTGGGGTCCTATAATCCCCTTACAGGGTGCACTCCAGCAACCTAAAACCTCTACTAGGACTACCTGTATATGGTCCCACCACCTTCCAGTGGCACCAAGATGAGGAATGTTCCCCTTTGGGAATATTTTAGATCCAAACTATAGCACTGTGGTTGATGTTGCTTTACGAGTTTTAATCCCAGAGGATGACACTCTCAGCATATTCACTGGTGGGATCAACTGCCCAGTTACTATAATTCAGTGGAAAGAGCAGAGGCCTGGGATCCAGGCCTGCCTCTGTCCCTGACTTCCTGGGTCATCTTGGACTAATCATTTGTCATTTTCAAAATAGGCTAAATAATGACCCCTGAAGATATCAGGTCCTAATCCTTGCAATGTTTCTTTGTTTGGAAAAAGGATCTTTGCAGATGTGATTAGGTCAGGGATCATGAGATGAGATTATCCTGGATCATGTGGGTGGCCCCTAAATGCAATGATAAATGTCCTCATGAGACCAGCTTGAAAGACACACAGAGAAGGCAAAGTGGAGGCGGAATGTGGAGAGGTTTGAAGGTGCTGGCCTTGAAACCAGAGCTAAGAAGCCACAAACCAAAGAATGACAGCAGACACCAGAAGCTGCAAGACACAGATCTCCCCTAAGAATCGAGAGGGAGTGTGGTCTCGGTGGCACCTTGATTTGGACTCAGTGATACTGATTTTGGACTTCTGGCTTCCAGAAGCATGACAGGAGCCTTGACATTGCAGGAGTGGAGACAGTTGATTCTTGTGATTCATGTAGTTTGTTCTATGAAGTCACCAAGCATGCTGATCCAGTGAATCCTGAACACTGCTCTCAGGGGAAGCACAGGATTAGGTGCCTGCAAACCTCTGCCGCAATAGTTTCAGCAGTTGATTGATATGTAATCTCATTTATGTGTGTTTTAAAGATACTTTATTTAACATATTGTTGGTTCATTAACATTGAATTCAACAGCACTGTAACTCATGCTAAAGGGACTGTCTAACCCACGTGTTCTCTCCCTGAGAAATGCCACAGCTTTCCTGAATCTAGGAACACTAGATGACACTTTAGCACTGAGCTTGGGGCCATTTCAAAAGTGAAATCACCAACAAAAAGCTCGAAAATTGTGAGAACATGTCCCTACATCGACCACGAAAAGGACACATTACGAGAGCCAAGAGAAGAGAGCGGGAGCGTCCCTTGAACCCTGGAGTAACCTCAGCTGGGAACAGTCATGTGCTGCAGCGATTCAAATTTTAGGCCACATTATGTGTGTCCCAAACAATGGAGAGAGCATCCCAAGTTTTGATTTAGGGGTTGCAAATAAATTTTAATGAACAGGGGAATTCTTGAATACAGAACCCACGATCAAAGACAACCACACCCCTGTTTGATATCATAAGTAACCCAGGTCCTCTCATTAGCTGTGGGGTGGGAGCCTGTGAAATTAATACCCACTACAGAAAATAAAGAGTCTGCCTTTTTTCCCTTCTTATCTAAAATGTAGTACTTATGTTTTTGATCTACCTGTTTAGAAAAATCGAATTTAACCTCCACAAGGGCAAGGAATTTTGTGCTCTATCATGCTGTACTTCAGCAGCAGCCAGAATAGCACCTTATACATAGTAGATGCTCAGCTAGTTGGAATTTGTTGAGTGAATCAAGGAATAAAAATCACAATTGAACTGAGACTCATGGACGAAACTGTGACAGTTACAATTCCACAGTTTTTATAACTTTACATATGTGAAGTTTCCCAGTTTAATTTTCCAGCTCTTTGGAAAGGTCTGGGGCTAGGGAAGCAGAATTCAGACATAGAATTTTCCCCACTGACCTAAGGATGGAGGATGGATGTTCTGAGTCAATTCTGGCTGAATCGTACCTTGTAACAGACGAGGAAAATTTCTTCTCTAGTCACAAGGAGAAGAGAGCATCAGTAGCTGGATAAAGTTTGAGTTCTGGACGAGGAAACAGCTGATGTCATTTGGGAGATGGAGGTCCCAGGCGAGGCGGCTAGGTAATGATCAACATCTCCTCCCTGTCTCTGCTCTCAGACACTGAGTTGACGACGCTTTTTAAATACTTTGTGAATTCCATTCGGATCTCCTCAGGGTCCTCCTCAAGATTGGAGTGCACCAGCTTCAGCTTGCTCAAGGGTGGCGCTGAGAAAGGAGAATAAGATGAATGAGTGGACTTGGAATCTTTTCTAGCTCCCAAGGGACCTGAGACTTGCTTAACTTTCTAAAAGTGCTGAATACTTCCTGAGTTGTTTTCCGGGATCACTTTGTCACCTCTGCTGTGTACATGTCACAGGTGAGTTGGAGGTTTTTCTTGGGAAAAGGCCTCTCAAGAAAGACTGTCCCCAGTGGGACCAATAAATGGCCCACACCAGGTTTCTCCCCATCTTTGCATCTACCTGCTGTGAAAGTGCCCATCCCTTGCCTCCATGGAAGGATGGACCTTCCATCCTGGCAGTTCCGATGGACATGGTGAAATCGACAAAGGCGTAGGCGTGGCCAGTGTGCAGTAAGTGCACATAGCTGCTGGTTTCAAAGACACTGCCTCACACAGGTGCGTGGGACATCTGCGGCAAAAGGTGGAGGTGAAACCCCAGCCTTCTTACACAAAGACGGGCTCCCCGTGTCTCCTCCCGAGCCCGGTTTGTGATGTGCAATCAGCAGGCACTGGGTGTCCTGTAGGAGCTGCTGGTGGACAAAGCAGGAGTACCACATCTCGATCTCCTTCAGGTGGCTCGGCATGTCAGCGTTGAAGACAATCACCACCCCGTGGGCGTCCTTCATCAGGGCCGGCCAGCAGGACTCGAACCTGCAACACAGAAAGGGAGTTGGAGCAGGAGTCGGGGCATCCTGGACTCTAGCTGGGCACTTTGTTTTAATTTTTATTTTGTGGAAACAGGTTCTTGCATAGTCCAGGCAAGTTTCTCATCACTGAGCTACCTCTCCAGCCCTCATGATCACTTTAAAAATAGCTCAGTATTAATAATTGATCGGTGACTTCTAATTATATCATAACTCAATTGCTAAAGCATATAAAGCAATGTATGTGACCAAAGAACTCATCAAGCCCCTCATGCATCCTGGGAACCAGGCAAGGCCTGATTCCATGGAACCTGGTGGGCACTGTGTGTGTGTATTTTAGCTGGGGATGGAACCCAGGGCCTCGTGCATGCTAGGCAAGCCCTCTGCCACTTGTCCCAGCCTGGACGAAGTAGACCTTCTTTAAAGGAAACATACTGGGGCTGGGATTGTGTCAGCGGTAGAGCGTTCGCTTAGCATGGGGGGGACCCAGGTTCGATCCTCAGCACCACATAAAAATGAAGGCATTGTGTTGTGTCCATCTACGCCTAAAAAAATAAACATTAAAAAAAAAAGGAAACATACTTAGAATCACCGCCACAGTCCCAGAGCTCGAACTCACACCTCGCACTTTTGTTGTTGCTGGTAACATGTGGGTTCTCAAATTCCAGGATCCTAAACATAAAAACAGTAGCAACAACACCACTATTTAGGAGGCATTACCCTTCTGGAAGGGCCAATAGCATGCAAAGTCACAGATGGGTGACGGTTAGTGACTTTTTGGGGTGCAGATAGGGTAGAGCTCACCTTACTCCCTGTGTGGGGTTGTATTCAGTGATGTCAGAAGATTCCGTCAGAAAGTTGGCCAAAACGGTTTTTCCACTCTGTGAAAATGACAGAAGAGTAGAAACAGCCCTGAGGTCACCAGGATAGAGGGCCCTCTGCTGTTTTGCTCTGGTGTGCTGGGCATGGCCTGGCTGGGAATATGGGGAGCACGGGAGGCCAGTGCTCCCTCTGCTGCTGGGGACTCCACCCTCACTTGAGTTTCCTGGCTGACTCTCAGTTACCTTATCTGACAAAAGAAAAAAATCACCAGTGTGTCTCTCTCCACGCCTGCTCCTCTCCACATTTTTAGGGAATCAGTCTGTTACAGACACAAGGCTCAAGGTCACAAAGAAGATCAAGGTCAAAGCTAAGTCCCAGGTCTGGGGATTCCTGGCTGATTGCTCCACAATCTCAAAGCAAGCTGTTTTGGGCTGGGGCTGTAGCTCAATGGTAGAGCGCCTGCCTTGCATGTGTAGAGGCCCTGGGTTCAATCCTCAGCACCACATAAAAATAAATAAAGATACTGTGTGTTTATCTACAACTAATAAAAATATTTTTTAAAAAATCTGTAACTCAAAGCAAGCTATTTTTCCTTAGAACATAAGTAATTGATATTCCTATAAAAATAAAATCAACCCATCAAGAAAACAGCCTTAGTTGGGCCCAGTGGCACATGCCTATAATCCCAGCGACTTGAGGCTGCGACAGGACGATCGAGAGTTCAAAGCCAGCCTCAGCAAGGGCGAGGTGCTAAGCAACTCAGTGAGACCCTGTCACTAAGTAAAATACAAAAAAGGTCTAGGGATGTAGCTCGGTGGTCGAGTGCCTCTGAGTTCAATCCCCAGTACTAAAAAAAAAAAAAAAAAAAAAAAGCTGTTTCAGGAAAAAAGACATATAATCCAAGGAAAAAAAAAAAAACAGCCTTCTGATCCCTCTACTTAAACCATCCCTATGTTCAACCCATTCCCTCCTTAAAATTATGTTTTTCAGATCTTCTCTATATTTGCAGAATTCATTGAGCAAATACTACATATGCGTAAATATAAAATGATTTTTTCTCCCCCCAAATTATTCTTCAGAAGAAAGGCAATCTCTTACACTTGAGTTCTTATTTAAAAACCTCTCCAATTATGCCCCGCTCTCAGTTACTTTATATCTGATCCAGGTCATTCTGCTTGGCTAGAATGACCTGGATCAGAACTAGTTTGCAAGGCCTGGAGAAATCACTTGGTAGAATCAAAAACCTGAGAGCTGAGGGGAGGGCACACTGTCTTTAGAATGCAGCCTCACAAATTAAATATCAGATAAAATAACAGGGTAAGTGGCTTCCTTGTGGAGATCATGTTTATTTTTAGGATGAATAAATATAGTAAATGGTCTGAGGTTATAGGAATGAGTCCTGGGGCCTGAATACATTTCCAGGAAGAGTTTCATAACATTGATTTTTTTTTTTTTAAATGCTGCGTCCTAAACAACTTAGATGAACAGAAAAATAATATGCATTGGCAATCATGTTAAATTATGCAAAACAAGTGGCTCAAGTCATGAAGATAAGCCAGATGTCAAAGGCTCAGATTAGAAGCTTGAATAAAACTGTGTCATCCAGTGAATGGAATCAAATAAAATTTTCAAATTAATATATATCCTCATGGGCCTTTACAGGTATATCATACATACACATGACTATATGAATACATTAAACATGGGAGAAGTATATGAGAATGTTTCATCTATGTCCTTAAAGTTTATATATATAAGTTGGCCAAAACCAATTTGAGCAGGGATGGGTTCTCATGAGAAAAATGAAGAAACTGCCCTGTTGGGCATGTGAAGTATATTTTAATCTATCCTAACAGTACCCATTAGCAATCTTAAACTTCCCCATTAGTTTGGTTGGGTAAACAAGTCCCATCTCTTTGTTTTCATGTGTCACTGTGATTATGAGGTTGAACATCTTCTTATACTTACCTGGCAATTTTATTTCCCAATTTTATTTGTGTGCAGCACTTTGGCTTGATTTCCTATTGAACTATTTCTCTTTTCTTTACTGATTTTTAAACTTTCCTTGCATGTCCTATTAATGTAAGTTTTAAATACTCACCCCCAGGTTTTAACTTAGCTATCATTTCTTTTAAGCCTTTTTCATTTGGGGGGCTTTGCTTAAGACCTTTCCTAACTGCAGATTGAACACATCTCTTTCCATATAATCACCTATGCATCGACAGTGCTTATCCCTGTGTGTGCCCTGGACCAACAGCACCACCAAAATCCAAATTCCTGGTCCCTCCTGGACTTAATCAAAACCCTGGGGCTGGACCTGAAAGATGTGACCTGGTGGGAGGGTCACAAGACCCAGGCTATGGTTTCAAAGATGCCACTCACTACCGTGGGCCTTCGGGCCTCGGCAACTCAGGGTTCCCCTCCATCGCCGCCCTCGGGCGATGGTGAGGATCAAGATCTGGAGGCGCCCAGTTCCCGTGAGGCGCCCGTCGGGGTGGGGGCTTTGTGACCGGGTTGCCACCTCCTGGGGGTCTGCCTGAGCAAGGCACAGACCCGGGGGCGGCCCCGCGCTCGCTCGGGCCCCCCTCGCCGCCGCCCCGGCTGGCCTCACCTCACAGGGCCCCACGAAGAGGATCTTGGCCTTCAGCATCGCGGTCCGCGGGGCAGCCCCCAGCGCGCGGTAGGAACCCAGCAGAGCGAGCTTGCAAGCCGCCGCGCTGATTGGCTGCCTTCGTTTCCATGACGACCGGGAGCGGCCCGCAGGGGCCGACGGGACACGGCCAGTTCCGGACGCGCAGAGCGCAGGAGCCAAGGGGCGAAATCCCGGCAGTAGGAGCGGTTCTGCGCCCGCGGCCCAGAGCTCGCCAGTCCCGCTTGTCGTGGCAGAGACGCGGAAAGTGGAATCGCAGGGCCCTTAACTCCTCCCAGTCATCGTGCGCGGTCAAACAGACCCCGAGGCCGATGAGCTGGCCTGGAACCAGGCCTCTGACCCCCTCATCACTCTGGCTGGTGCTGCCCACGTTGGGAGGGGGTTTACACATCCCTGGGCCAGCCTAGGAGGTCAGGAATCGCGACTCTGAGCTCAGTAAAGGGCGACACCGCTCACCATTATTCCAGTGATCTGGGAGAAACCAGAAGAGGAATGCACTGGGCATTAGGGCAGGGGCCTGAGAACGTTGCTGCTGATTCAGTCCTTAGGTCCGTCTTAAATCACGGTGCCGGGCCATTTTATTTTCATAGATAATGCACTTCCTTTTTTTTTTTTTCTTAAATAGTGATCATTCACTTCCGCTTCGTGGGGTGCTATCTCTTGTTTTACTGTTTCTCTTGGCTCACCTGCCTGACCCTTGACATCGCTTCCTTCCTTCCGTACCACTTGAAGTTTTCATTCCAGTGAAGAGATAGACAACAAGAGAACTCCTGATAGGAGTGCGTGATAATCTACGGTGCATCCTTCAGTATTTTTCTCCATACATCTTAGACATCCCCGTTCTACGCAGATCTATATCTCTGTCGATCTGGAAGAGCTTGCTAAAACACGACTATCCCAATTTTGGCCAAGTTTTTAAAGGATGACAGTAGGCATTCGGTGTTTTAGATTTTAATCCTTCTCTGTAGAATTTAGCACATTACCTGGAAATATTTGAAAACTTACGAGATTGAAGAAGAGAGAGAGAATTGCTTTGGAGGGAATGCTGTTTGCTCAGGTCAGGTCAAGTGGAGATGGGAGAACTGGTGTTCTCTGGAGTTTGGGCAGCATGAAGATAGGTGAGAGAAGCTGAAGAGAGATTTAGTCCAAGGCAAGAGAGAGAGAGAGAGAGAGAGAGAGAGAGAGAGAGAGAGAGAGAGAGAGGAAAGAAAGAGGATGTATTGGGAATAGCCAAGGGAACAAGAGGTTTTCTTAGGAACCTGAATAGGAAGGAGTTGGCTGTGAGTATTTTAGATCTTGCCTCTGAGAAGCCCCCCTGGAGAAGGTGGACTCCCCAAACAAGATGGACTGCTGTTGCTTGGGCTGGAGGTGAGGCTAAGGTCTGCGGCAGCTGCAGCCAGAAACATGGTCATGCATCTCCCAGGAACCCCCATAAGCTTCCCAATGAGATAAAAATCAGCATCAGAGATCTGCTACTTCCAGAGAGCACCCCCACTGGGTTATATCTGCACCTATTAAATAAAAATCATTACTTTACAATCATGTGATCATATCATGTATTATTCTGTCTTGGTTTTCTTTAACAACACATTGTAGAAACTGCTCCAAGTCTTTTGTCACAGTTCTGCTGTAAAGGTAAAATTTCTAAGCTGATTCTAAGCTGCAAAAGTCTGAGTTAAAGTGTAAAAGACCGGGCATTGTAAGGTTCTCTAAATGGCAAGGCCTGGGCTAAAAAGTAAAGACTAGGTATTGTTAACATTCTTCTGCTACCCCCGGAACTTGTAATCTCTGTAACTTGTTAGGACAATGCCGAGCTGCCCAGTAAACATCTCCATTGATTCCCTGGTTGTTTAATAGCTAAGGGCTCCAGGTACGTAAGCATCTAGGCTCCAAAACCAATCAGTTTAAATCTGTACCCCGCTTAGAAATGACCAATCACCCCTGCCCAGGTTGTTCCTGCCAATGTATGTACTAATCCTGACTCAGAGATGTTGTTCAATTTTCCCGCGCCTCATGATGATTTGTTCTGATGTATGCAAAGCCCCCCACCCTTTCCAAAAAGTGTACTTAAGCTCCTCTTGACCTCTGCTCTGGGCTCTGGGCTGCTCTCCCTTCTTGAGTGAGCACAGAGCCCCAGCGCACTGGAACGGATCCCCAATAAATGCCCCTCTGCATTTGCATGAAGTAAGTCTCTGTGTGGTCTCTCCCTCCGACGCTCCGCCGGACCCCAACACTGCTACATTATTTTAAGGTCCTGTACTATTTTATAGTCTGATATACCATAGTTTATTCAGATTTTTTTTAATGTTGTGCATTAATATGTTTCTAGTTTAAGGTCATTTGAAACAAGACTGCAATAATGTATGTCTATTTTTAGGTGCTTTTACTTCTGTGGAATCTATGGGACAGAAATGATTGCCGGGTCAAAGGATATGTGTATTTTAAATTATATGTATCCATATATATATTATATTGCTAGATTACTTTGACATTTGGCAGTTTTAACTGCCTTTGTCAATAATTTATATTTTATGACAGTTGAATCTTGATAAACAGCTTCTGCAGAGTGAAGAGGAGTCTTTGTTGGAGGAGGTTGCAAAGAGAGGGAGGGGAAGAGTTATGTTGCAAAACTGGGGCTTGGAGTGATTATGTTATTATCCTTTATCTCTTTCAACATAGTAAGTATATTTAGTTTAAAGTTTACATCTGATAATTCAAAAATCTGGAGTCCTTCTTGGACTGTTTTTATTATCTGATGTGCATGTTTTTTCCCCTTGGTTACTTTACCTTTCACAAGTAACATAATCACTCCAAACCTCAGTGGCTTAAAATGTCAAACATTTTTATCTCATGATTCCTGTGGATCAGAAATGTGAGCAGGTCTTGTCTCCTGTTCAGGTTTCTCATGAGGCTGCCGTCGAGGTATTGGCTGTAGCTGTCGAGGTATTGGCTGTAGCCATCTCAAAGCTTGACTAGGAGGATGGACTCGCAGGTCCCCTTCTTTGGGTTTCAGCAGGATGCTTTCCGTATCCTGTTGGCCTGAGGGCCTCAGTTCTTTGTTGGCTGTTGGCCAGAGACCTCCTCACTTCCTGGCTGGGTGGCTTCTCCATTGGACAGATTGCAGTATGGCAGCAAGCACGTGACAAAGTGAGACAGCACAGGCCAGATGGAAGCCACGGTGTCCTTGTAACCTAATGTTAGAAGTGACATTCCATCACTTTAGCTGCATTCTGTCACCAGGTTCACTCCTACTCAGGTCTGGGGGATTGCCAGGGTGTAGGTGTCATTGGTATCATCTGAGAGGCTGCCTAAGACCAGAAGGTGCTGAGAGCCATTAGCCAAGTAGGTATGACAATTTCCTTGCCAATGTACCCCATGTTGCTTAGAGGAAGAACTCGTGGAAATGGACTTGCGTTGGACATTCGCAGTGACATTGCTTGTATGCTTGAGTAAGGTGACCTTGCTCAAGGACCAGGGCAGATCTGGTTTAGGTCGGATCAGGTTTTAGGGAGTATCCCGCTCCTTGTTCCAGGTTTAAGGTGTACCCTGCCAGGAATAGGGCGTATCCTGCTGATTAGAGCCTGGAGGAGTACGTGGATTTTGCCCAGAACGTGAATTTCCCCAGAACATGTTTGTAGAGGGCCGGTGTGAGTTCAGGAATAAAGAGTTGCTGTTTGAATCTACAAGGTGTGTGGTGGCTCGTGATTTTGTGCCCAGCCAGACTGCGGCAAGAAGGGATTGTGAGATGCTCATTGTAAAATAGCATCCATGGAACAACAGCTTTTTCATGAAGAAAACAAGAACATGGCTACAGTTCAGTGCAGCTCTTGATTACAACGAAGAATTTGTGCTTCCTGTAAAGATTGCCTAAGTAATTTGGACAAACCATTTTACTATGGGCAGAGCAGGGGCTGTGGCTCAGATTCAAATCTTCACAATTTTTGCATTTATTTGAAGATGATCCAAGATTCCTAGGTGTGAGAAATATGGATCCTTTCTGGAAAAAGAGACATCATACTTGGCCATCAATTATTTATATGATTTTGTACTTACTGTGTCTGGCATACAATATAAAAAATCAAATATGTAAAAGATAAAACAACCTAGGAAACAAATGCATAAATTCATAGAAACAGGCCAAGAGAGACTCCAGATTTTTGATTATCAGATCCAGACTTTAAAACTAGCCCAGTCACAGTGGGGCATGCCTGTAATCCCAGTGACTCTGGAGGCTGAGGCAGGTGGGTCCCAAGCTCAAAGCCAGCCTCAGCAACTTAGTGAGGCCCTAAGCAATTTAGCGAGAGTGTCGAAAGCCATCCATAGGCTTTATGTGTGAGCTATGTGCATTGGAGCTATATGAGCGGGCAGGTCTGGCATTGCACGCTGACTGCGCTGTGCCATGCAAGTGCCCCTCTCCTCTCCTTCTTCCCGTGATCCCACACAGCACCTGAGGTGGGTGTGACTTGCCAAGATGTCAATCAGTCTTCTGACCACAGACATCAGGAAGCAAGACTCCATCTTGAAACCTTGTCCCCTGCCTGAGGACTCCAGATTTTTGAGTTATCAGATATAGACTTTAAATTGAATACACTTACTATGTTGAAAGAGATAAAAGATAATAATATAATCTCCCCAAGCCCCAGTTTTACAGCATGACTCTTCCCCTTCTGCTCTTTGCAACCTCCTCCAGTCAAGATTTGACTCCTCTTCACTCTGCAGAAGCTGTTTGTCAAGAACCAAATATCATAAAATGTAAGTTATTGACAAAGGCTGTTAAAACTGCCAAATGTCATATTCTACCAAAAATCTTTTGTCTTTTTTTCCCATAAATAAAGGGATTCCGAGTGCACTCGCTCTCTTGACTTCCAGCGTGGAAGAGGAACCCTGAGGTCACAGAGCAGTCACACCTTCAGTAAGAAAGTTACTTCTATGTCCTGGGCTTTTCCTTCCTTAATGTTGCAGGCAGCCCTCGTGAACCCAGTTCATCTTGTTAGTGTGGGTCGCTAGCGAGATAAGAGCCTTTCTCAAAATGATAACAGGCACCACTGAGCCACATCCCCAGTCCTTTTTATTTTATTTTAAAATTCTGAGACAGGAATTTTAAGTTAC